TGGCCATAAGCTTGTATGGTCTTCTCTTAATTGTAAAAATGTTTTAGAAACTTTAGCTTCAGTTTATAATGCAGCTTTCTCTGCCATCTGAAGCTAAATGCTGTGATTTATAGTTATAGTTTATAGAAACAAGCATCAAACTATAGATTATGAAGCTGACTTATTTCTCATAAACTATACTTAATATTAATTATTGTTTAAAGTGTTAGTGACACACAAAACTTATAATTGCCTTCTCACATTTATGGTGGAGAAAGGATGTATGTCTAGGGATGAGATGGCTAGATTCATTCTCATGATGCTGAATCATAGATTAGTGTTGTGACCAAACAGTCTCTGTGTGCATCACTGTGCCTGTGGGAATGATGGCTGTCACTTTTGTACCACTGCTAAGACATACAGTGGTGCCCCGCTAGACGCTTACCCCGCATGACGTCGAAATCGCTTGACAATGACATTTTTGCGATCGCTATTGCAATCGCAAAATGATGGTTCCAATGGGGGAAATCCGCATTACATTGATTAGGAGCCTGCTTCGCGAACCGTTTGTTCGCTATATGATGATTTTTCCAGCTCCGCAAAATGGCTTCCCTCCACAAAATGGCTTCTGTCCCTTCTCAAAATGGCTGCTTTCCTGGCGGAAGCTTCGCATTACAGCAATTTTGAACAGCTGATCGGCGGTTCTCTATGGGCACCTTTGCTGGACGGTGAGGTATTTCCCCCATTGGAACGCATTAACCAGTTTTCAATGTATTCCAATGGGGATTCCCCCCCTGCTTGACGACGATTTCGCTTAACAGCGATTTTGCTGGAACACATTATCGTTAAGCAGGGCACCACTGTACTCTTGTTTTAAGAAGGTTGTTTGAGCATCAGTTTCACTTGTTTTCTTAGGAAAGACCTGCAGAAAAAATGTTTTTTGTTAATGCAAAATATAGAAATCCAGTAGTATACGTTGCAGCTAAAGTAAGCCCACTGGGACAGTGGAATTTATGGAGGGATTGACTCACTAAATTCCCACTGATTCAATGAGCCTACTCTAGTTGAAACTTATTACTGGATGTTAGCCATTGTGTTTGAAAATACAGACCTCACAGAGGAGGTCTCTTGGATGGAGAGGTAGAAATGTCTAAATCTAATATTGGTCCCAACTGGAGTAGACATGTTGAAATGAATGGGACAGGTAACATACACTCTGATTTCAGTGACTTTAGTTGGGGCTGACATTGAATTTAGATAGATGAAAATATTTGTACTGCATATAGATGTACAGTATTTGTTTTGGATGAGTAATGCATTCCACAAAGGTATGAGTGAAACAGGACAAAGCATCCAATTTGTGGAATAAATTATTTTACCTTAAAAGAATCCAACATTGATACAGCTGGACATAATTTTTTTAAAAAAGGTATTTCTTAATTCTTGCTGTTCGTATTACCAAGCTGTAACAGAATTCCTCTCTCTCTCTCTCTCTCAACCCCCCCACAAAAAACAAAACCTTAGAAAATGATCAATGTGAGGTGATAAAATGTTCATTTTTTAAACTTAATGAATCCAGTTGACCTGAAAAATTAAGAAATTTTCCTAAACCACATCTTAGAAACAATTCTTTGTCTTCATTTTGCTGGTGATATTGCTGTGTTCAAAAACCTTTTAAAAAAAGATGAATTCTCCCTTTTCTCGTTCTGGCATTTGTTATGATAAATCATGTATTTAAATACTGATAACCTTTCTTCTTTTAAGCAAAATCACTGTTTATTGTGGAGAGGGGAAGTATTTTGACACATGTGGAACTAATTGCATGAGAGTGATAGACCTTGCTGAATTGCAGCTATGATACTACTAACAATTGTGTGAGAATTAAAAGGCAGATCATAGTAGGGATTTGTCTTCAGCAAAAAGACTGAAAAATGTGCATGTGTATTGATGGAGACAGAGTCATTCACATGAATTAATTATTTAACGCTTTCTACTGATATGTTGAACATCCGAAGCACACAATAGTAAAATTTAGTATAAAGAAATAATAAGGATGCTAATGCACTTTAAAAAGTGTCAGCAAGAAAAAAAGTTCTTGAAGACAAAGGAAGCAAATTAAATACAAAAAGTTTGTACAGTATTAGCTATTTCAAGTTTTGTAACAATTTATGATCAAAAGAAAGTAATGGAACATAGGCAGGTAGCTATTTAATAATAGTAATTGCCAGTTCTCATTGTCCATACATACATACATACATACATACATACATACATACATACATACATACATACATACATACATACATACATACATACATACATACCAATTCTTTTGAATCTCTGATTAATTAGAAAGAATACTAGGCTATAATTTAGTTTAAGCAAATACAACTCGTGAAAAGGGATGGAACATCTTAAATTATCTGAATTACAATTCATCAGCATGAAGTCACAAGTACCTACATAAAAGCATGCTTTCATTATCATGCTTTTTTGTTGCAAACTAACTGAAGTAAAGTTATATGCCATCTAACTTTATATTTTGATTTAAACAGTAAAATTGCATCTGTCAGCACTTCAAAAGCATGCTACAGGCTAAGCATTTCAGATTGTACCAACTAAACTTGACCACTGCACCATTATTTTTTGGATTTTGTTTTTTGTCTTTGTTTAATTGTCATTAGTTGCCATTAAGATAGTGGATGGCTTGAATTCAAGTCTTGTTAGTTAGTATCTGCTGTAGTAGTCAACTGTTTCTGTGTCATCTGCTTTCAACTGCATGCTGCATGTTACATCTTCTTGGATCTTTAATGCTGCAGTCCTACAGCTGCTTATCAGAGGAAAAGCTCCACTGAACTCAGTGGAATTTACTTACAATTAGAAATATATTACCTTGCATTTTAAGTTGCTTGACGACTGCATAGACTGTATTCCAGTTTGTAGTGCATGTGTGCCTTGTTGCACTGCATGTGGTAATTGAAATCAGACTTCTTCAAGTGTAAGCATACTTTGTTCTTCCTTGTAAAATCTGTGATCAGATTAAAAGTACACACTACCTTGATTATAGCTTCCCCATAAGATTAAGGGTAGCCATCTTTCTGAAGGTTACTTGGAGTCTTGCATGGGACCTGCTATATACATAATGTCTTTGATCTTTCACAAAGATGGAATCCTTGAGTCTTGAAGTATGCATGCATCTAAAAACATATACTTTAATGAATGAATTTCCATTACATAAATAATTCCTATTGGTGAGTTCTATAGAAACTGTAGGTTTTAGGCCAGATGTTCCCTTCTATCTTTAAAGATGTTTTAGTCCAAAAGAATTCTTAAAATACAGCGTTTGAACTAGGAAAATATTTTCCTGGTTTGTACATGGAGTGTGTTAACAGTCATTGCTCCTTGTTTGTTTCTGGCTGTAGGGTGTATGTTTCCTATTTACAGACTTGCTGCAGTGTCTTGGGGTCTGATGTCAAATTTGACATACTGGCTAAAATCCTATTGCGATAACCTGATGTGGAACAGCTAGGATTATGTTATCAGCTTGCAACTATATTATTTAATGTAATTTAATTGAAAACTTCCTATCCTCCTGCCCCAGGTTTCAAGGCTCCGCCCCCCCCTTTTGTCCTGAAAAACCTTTTGGGGTGGGGGGCTAACAGTAAAAAAATGCTGCTACTGGTCCCATAACTCGGGGCAGCCCACCACCAATTAAAGACTCCTCCCCATACTGAAGTTTTTAAAATCATCTTCGGGGCAACAGGGAGTCCTATGGAGCCTCAGGACCTGAAAGGGGAGGATAGTAGAAAGGTTTCAGATCAGTTCAGTCCAAGCCCATATTACTGTTGTAGGCTGATGGTGTCATCCTAGTTGTGGAGCATGGCAATAGTACTTCAGCCATGAAGATTCCAGGTTTCTTTGTTTCTTTTTTAAAAAGCGAAGCTCTTAAACATGTAGCAAATAGAGTGAGATTTCAGAACCCGGAGAAATTGTAGCTGTCCCTACATGATTACCTATAGAAATCATGTAAATCAATGGTTGCATCCTTCTTACAGTTTTAGCAAAAAAACCCAAAAACCTACAAATGCTTTGAAAGTGTTGATCTATGAAACAAAATCAGTTATGCAGTGGCTGAAATTCTATTGGTTACCATAGTAAACTAAACTAGAATAGGCTCTCCGAATCAGCAGAGATTTGATGAGTCATCCCTTCCGTAAGATCCATTTGTTTAAGTAGGCCTACTTTTTTTCCTTGGCAATTAATGAGGGGTTTTAAACATAATAGGGACGTGGTGGTGCTGCGGGTTAAACCGCAGAAGCCTGTGCTGCAGGGTCAGAAGACCAGCAGTTGTAAGATCGAATCCACGCGATGGAGTGAGTGCCCGTCACTTGTCCCAGCTCCCGCCAACCTAGCGGTTCGAAAGCATGCAAATGCAAGTAGGGACCACCTTGGTGGGAAGGTTACAGCATTCCTTGTCTAAGTCGCACTGGCCGTGTGACCACGGAAGATTGTCTTCAGACAAAACGCTGGCTCTATGGCTTGGAAACGGGATGAGCACCACCCCCTAGAGGGGAACACGACTGGACAAAAATTGTCAAGGGGAACCTTTACCTTTAAACATAATATTTGGAGATAGTACTGTTCCAGGTAGACCCAAGTTAATATTGTTACTGAACTAAAATGTACCTGTAAAATCAAGTCCCATCTCTAGTTTTAATTATCAGCTAGTAATAGTTTGCAGTTTGGGGTAGAAATTATACTTAAGTCATTGTCCCACCGGGAAAGCTGATGGAATATAACAGCCAATTGGTAGTATCCAGGATGTTCTTTTCTTTTAAAGATCCTTCCCTATCCTATCCCTGTATTACACCAGATAGTGAGAGTGAGCTGCCAAAAGGCTATTCCATAAATTTACACCTTTGCAAACTGATGATGTCCTTAGCTGTGAGCTTTTAACTCTCATTTAAAGTTTCCTAATGCACCACCCCCACAGGTTCTGAGTCTCCCTTGAGATCCTTTTTGACTGGGGAAGTTTTTGAGAGTATTGGGACAGAGGGAGCCTTTAATGCCTGAAAATTGGCACCAGTGGTTGTGCTGCTAGGATCAAGACTGTCAGCAGTGATTATTTATTTATTTGTTTGTACCTGTCTCAATAAAAATACACCAAGGTGGCTTAAAAGATTCCCCCTCATGTGCTGAGGCTCAAAAATTTTCTCTAGGTCAAAATGGATCCTCAGGATCCTTGAAACCTGGTGTAGTAGAATAATGAACAATAAAAGGCCATAGCTGATGAGACCATCAGCTTCCGTGGGTGTAAATTTATAGAATAGGGTTTCAGCCAGTGAGTTATAAACAGCTACCATGAAATGAATGAGTACTGACTTCCCTTTTCTAAACCTTTGTTCCCTGAACTTACATACTCATCTAGTTTTGTTCTTATTAGACAAAAACCCTTCCAGCATTTTACAAATTGGTCAAAGGATTGTCAAAATATGAAAAACGAGGCATTTAATTTTGTTTTCTATGCTATGTTGTTTGTAAAATTTTGTCATATATATATGCACATTTATTGAGTGATGTGGCTTCTACATTGTGTCTGTCTGAAAGATATGTGCACTAAAGGGGATTGGATTCCTAAATAAAAATTTAACAACTATCATTTAGTTACCTCTTGATCTGCCAAAATCATTTTTAATGCAATAAACCAAGTATTGCTATTTATGCAGGTTGGAAACGCAATTCTTTGACTCCAAAGACTACCTTCCCTTGTCCTGGATGCCAACATGACATAGACCTGGGAGAGCGTGGCATCAATGGCCTATTTCGCAACTTCACTTTGGAGACTATTGTAGAACGGTACAGGCAGGCAGCAAGGGCAGCTACAGCCATCATGTGTGATCTCTGTAAACCTCCACCACAAGAATCCACAAAGAGCTGCATGGATTGTAGTGCAAGTTACTGCAACGAATGCTTCAAAATACATCATCCCTGGGGAACTTTAAAAGCGCAGCATGAATATGTGGGACCAACCACCAACTTCAGGCCTAAAGTAAGTGGAGTTTTTAACCATCTTTTGGCTTATCTTTGGCTTGTAGTTGTGCTGATACAATTTGTAAACTTTTTTTGGGAAAAACATTACTTTCTAAGCACATATTTTATTCTGACAATCCACTATCCAACTTTTATATTTGGTACTCTGTTTAACATACTTGTCTAAATGTGGTAACAGTGTCCGTTACCAAGGAATGGCTCATTTGGGAGAGCTTAAAAAATGAAGGATGATGGCATTGCCCCATATTAAATTTGAAGAGGAAAATATAATCTCTTCGGAGAGAGGGATAGGCATAGGCTATTGGTGATAGATTGGGGTATGTAGAAAATTGTAGTTATTTGGATTCTGAACAAAAGCAGATATTGAGGTCTTTACTTTTGGTGGATCCAGGTTCCAGTGCCCATTTTTCATCACTGAAAATGGCTTTTGCATGGAATAAAGGTCTATGGTTTGTTTAGACATTGCTATTGTAAAACAGAATTATCAGACAACATGAATCAGCATGCTAGTTGTAACCCATAAACCAAGGTTTCTATAGTTTTCTGTCTTGTCATGTTGTGTCAACTGGCTCACTGCCTTGTTGTTCAGTATCAGTTTAGTTTGTGTGGGGTGTCTTTCCTACTCTCAGTACTTGTTTAAAATTAATGTGACATCAGTTTATTCATTTTCTTATCTTTACCTGTAACAGCTTCCAATGGCTAAGAGAACTGTCTTTGACAATAATCTTCCTAAGAGTACTTTCACACTATGGATTTCTTATCTTCTAAACAAGGGTAATGTCAGAAATGGATCTTAAGGTAGATATGTTAGTCAAAGTGGTAATAGTTCTTTCTCTGAAATCTGTCTAATGAAGCCTGCAATTTAAATTTGCTGTAAACAACTTGGTTGCTGTGATTTCATTAAACATATCAGATAATTGCTTTCAGTTTTATTGAAGCTGTGTTCTCATTTTTTATTCCCTGATGGTTATCAATTTTTCTAATTTCCAGCTTATAAATTATTCATAGTTATGTATATTTGCAGTTGCTCTCTTCTCTAAACCCGTAGTTGCTCTCTTCTTTACTTTTTTCAAAATAAATTGTTTCCAGCTTAAGTATTAGTTTGTATTAAAGAACTGTGTACATCAGGCATGGGGCATGTATTGCCTACGAGCTATCCTTGGGGCTCAGCCACTCATAAGTCCCAACCAGCCAGGCTAATAAACAGTGGTAATCAGAGTTATAGCCCAAGAACATCTGGCATTGCTTAGGTCTGTTATAGATGCAATATAGTCTTTCTGGAAGACTGCTTTTTTGATGGTTAAAGAGCCATCGATAATGGCATCAGATGCAGCATAGAGTTTCAGCTGGGTTAAATTGGCATACCTATAAGTAGAAATGGGGGTACTTATATACGAATATGAATATCCCCACGCAGCTGGAGTTAATGAGGGTCCACCCCCTGGGGCCAGACCATCAGCTCATGTATTGAGTGGCAGCAGCGGCAGCTTCGCTCATCCTTCCAATCACTCTCAGAGTCCTGCTCTGTTCTTGCTTGGCTAGTGACTTGACAGCCTTGTAAGGAGATTTGTCCTCCCTCCCCTTGCCTGGAGTGGCTAGCCGAGCAGGAAGAGAGAGGAGCTCCAAGAGTGATTGGAAGGATGAGCAAGGCCGGTGGCAGACGCATGAGTGGACGGTCTGACCCCAGGGGATGGACCCTTGGTTAATTCCAGATGCATGGGGATGTGCATGGAAATACCCCCATCTTTACCCGTAAGTGTAAATGCTTTCTATTGATTGCATCCTTGTATGAGAGTGGAGGTATCTCCTGTTTTCAAAGCAGATTTTGTATCTTGTAATTAGAAAAAGAATAACAAGGTTTGGTTTAGAAAGCTATTAAAATATACCCAAGAAAGTCCTGGTGAACACAGTGAACCATTAGTTGGCTAAGGGAAGGCCCTGAGTAGAACATGAATGAAACAGTAGCCTTATGCTTGTGCTCTTGAAAATTAATGTGTACAGGCATACTATCTCTTTTACTGAAGGGAATATATATTCATCATGGGTGGCAGGCTTTGGTAGCTGTACCCTCTGTGAATACATTCAGTCCCATTTTGAAGCTAATTGAGGTAGTAGCCATCACCAAAACCAATGGTAGTGAATTCTGCTTGGTGGAACGTCAAGGTCAGATAAAAAGAAGTACTTCACACAGTGGCTGAAATCCAGTACTAAGTCACAACTAGAATAGGCCTATTAAATCAGTGGGCATTTGGGGAGACAATATCTGTGTAAGTTCCATTGATTCGGTGGGCCCCCTCTGGTTGTGACTTACTATTGGGTTTCAGCCTCTGTGAATTTTTTTCATCCTGGATGTTCCACCTTTTAACTTTGGTTGGTAATCCCTAGATCAAGTTATATGAAAGAGAGTATGAACTTTCTGTGCATCATATGTAATTTTATTAATCTCTATCATAACTCCCCATGCTAGCTGTTTTTTTCTTACCTGACAATCCCAACTGTTGTAATTACGGTTGTGCAGCAGATTCAGATAAATGCAAAACTAAATCAGGTAATTTAGGCCAGTGCAGATCAATTTTGGACATCAAAAGAAAGCCACAGTGTGTGCTTCCAGATAATTACAATATAGCACATACAGTATGAGGAAAATAGTATGATGTGACAAAGGGTGGGGAAAGGGAACTGGGCTTTGCTTCTGGACAGCAGTAGCCTGTAGTCTCAGAGGATAATTTCACAGCAGTTTCTGATCACATTGCTCGTGAGGAGGGATCATGAAATGTCAAAATTATATATTCAGTTCTGTCCTGCTTTTGCTGTTCTTCAGCTTTTAATAGATTCTTGAAAAAGCTATAGTCACTATTTGAATGATTTTTAATTGCCTTGATTAATCGGAGTCTCTGTCTCTTCACTTCCAGAATTGTTGTCCTTTTAATCTGAATAGCCTACCTTTATCATATTTATCCCCTTTTAATTTGTTTTTTAGGTAATAATCTGTTTCTTATATATGAATCTGAACATGTAAGGTAGTGATGAATATTGATTATCCCCCCGCCCCTCTTTAGCTTCAGTCTAGGCTTGAAAGAAATATCATATTGTCAATGGTAATTTATGAAGAAGTGAATACAGTGGTGCCTCGCACAACGATTGCTTCATACAACGATGAATTCACACAGCGATGGTTTTTTTTGAGGAATTTCCCCCATCGTTTAACGATGTTCTCTATGGGGGAATTTCACTTAACGATGTCCCTTTTTGCTCATTTAAAAGTGTCTTAAAATGTTTGAAACCTGTTTTAAATGCTTGGATTCCATAGTGCACCTTGTGAAACATGTGCAAACTTAATTTGGTTTTGTTCTGAGTCTTCGTTAATTTTTGGTGATTTTTTTATTTTCCCCATTTAAATCGATTGAATGGACAGTTGAATGCATTTAAATAGGGAAAACAAAAAATCACCAAACATTAAAGACGACTCAGAACAACACCAAATTAAGTTTGCATAGGGTTCAGGAGGCGGGCTAACGATTGCAAGCATTTAAAACCTGTTCCAAACATTGTAAGGCACTTTTAAATGAGCGAAAACGGACATCGGAAAGAGCTCTTTGATCTCCGTTTTGCTGCTTTTGAAGCTCTTTCCAATGTCCGTTTTCGCTCACTGTCGGCTTCAATACATTCCAATGGAGGAAACATTGTTTCACTCAACGATGTTTCCTATGGGTTTTTTCACTTAAAGACAGCAATCCGTTCCAATTGGAATGGATTAACCAGTTTTCAATGCATTCCTATGGGAAATGGTGCTTCACAGAACGATGTTTCACACAACGTTGATTTTTTTGGAACCAATTAACATCATTGTGTGAGGCACCACTGTATACCCACAAAAGCTCACATTTAAATATAGCAGTCTGCCTTCAAGGTACCACAACATTTTTTAAAAAAAATGTTTAGTTTTGGAAATACAGTACAGTAACAGTTTTAGGATTTGGTGTTGGTTCTGTTTACTTGTGCCTCTCTATTTCTTCATGCTTTTCTTGAGAATGTATTATCTTTATTTCACAACAGTTTTTGCATTCAGTTTCCATGCACAATTCAAATGGATGATGATTATCTTTTCAGTTCTCAATGGCTTGGACTCAAGAGAACTGTCTTTTTTCATGTTACTCTGTTGTTCAGCTACTGATGACTTTCTTCTTCACACCTTGAAAGTGTCTGTAGCACTGCTGATTGAAAAGTGGGAGAAGTCTTTTGTGGTCATGAAATCTCCTACCTTGGGAAGTCTGCTTGATCTCTTATCACCCATCTTTCCTCTACTGGGCCAAGGCTTTAAGAATTCTGATACATTTGACCTTTCAGATTGAGGACATTTGTTTCTTTTTTTCAAGAGTGATTTTTCTCCTTGTCTTTTCTGCTTTTGTTTGTGGCTCTTTAGTCTTTATTCGGTTTTATTGTATTTTAAAGAGTTGTAAACTATGTATAGCATGACAAATGCTGTGAAAGTTTAGGATATAAATAAATAATGCGGCCATGATCTGTAGGTCTATCTTAAATATTTGTGTAAAATGAAATAGAATTGTAGGGACTGTCACTACTTGTTCCCATTAATGCTTGAATAGCATCGACATAACAAGTTTATGAAACAACAGGGAGAAAGAGGGGCATTGGTTTGTGTGTGCAGGTGTGGATTTTAAAGAAAAGATCCAGAGCATCTTTCTGAATCCTGTTGAATGATCTGCTTGTCAAGGTACAGGTATTCGAAAATACAGTAGAAGCAGGAGAGACTAAAATTAAGGCAGTTGTTCTTCAGAATAATAAAGTACATAGCGTGATAGGGTTCATTTTCAGCATCTGACAGTTCTCTAGTTTTGGCGGGCCACGACAAGAGAGAATTTTCTTTCACAACAAAGTCTTTATTAACAGAACTTTTAGGTTCCACTACAATAACTTCTGTAGGGTCAATGTGACCAAAATATACAGGAAAATCTGTCCATGATAATGGGAAACTTCCTCCATAGCTTTCCTTCCTCAACGGGGAGAGTGTCCGAATCTCTCCTGATCGGTTGGTTTTCTCAAACATCCATTCCTCACCACGCATATAGTCCTGCAGGAGGGGGTGACGAGACCAATCTCCCTCGGGTGGCTTCTGGTTCGGCTGGAGAGGTCCCGGATGGATTACCTTCCTCCAAGGACCCCGGCCTCGAGGGTACACCAGCATGGTCCATTTTTCTGGTCTTAATCCTTCTATTGGTATTTTAACTTCGCTCTCTTTCCTATCTGGTTCTAGACTCTCACACTTTCTATCTCATTTCTTTCTTCTGTGGTATTTTAAACACTTTTGGTCCTCCTTCCTCCTCCTACGATTTGTCTTCCCAAACCACCACCTTTCTTGTTTCCTCTGACTTCTCCCCCTCCTCCATCATCAAGAAAACCTCTGTCCCCTTCCTTCTTGTCTTCTCTAACTCCTCCCCTTTTCCTACCGCCTTCAACTCTTTCACTTTCTTTCACTTTCTCCGTGACCTTCTCCACTCCTCTATCTCCATCCTCTCTATCTCTATCCTCCTCTATAGATGTGTGAGGGGATGGCTCACTCTCTCACTCTTCTGGTCCTTTATTCTCCAGCTCACACATAGTAGCTTTATTTGTGTAACAGAACTCTTTGTTTAAAGGAAATCATTGGTTGTTTGTATTAGACTTTCTGTTGCTGTCGTTTCACAGAGACACACCTAACTTTGTTTGAGCTGGTAACTATCAAATAAGTATTAATTGTGCGTATGTATGCGAATGTGATTGAGAGAGAGAGAGAGAAACAGAGAAATATACAAAGAAAATCAAATGCTTATCTATTTTATATATTTGAAGTATTAGACACACATTTTATTTATTTATTTATTTAACACCTTTTTCCAAAAATATCCAAAGCAGTTGCCAGTATTAAAAGAAACAAAGTTAAAAGCTGAAATAATAAATTATTACAGTATTTAAAAAGAATTAAGCAGATATATTAAAACTTATAAATAAGAACAATATTAAAAGCCAAAGTAAAATAATAGAATATAATAATCCCTTTAAAAATTACCTTGGTCAGCCAGTCAGCAAGGTTTGTCTAAATTGCAGGTGGTTGGATGTGACTGATTTGGCAGCCTTGTAGAGGGAAAGTTTCAAAATAATACAGTACTTTATGCTTGTTGAAGTGGGTTACTTAAGAGTCTGACTGTATAAACTACAAAAAAGTGAACAACAAACTAATGGGAAAAAAAATACAATTTTCAGCTGTAAAATATCTATCTAGAATGGCAGTACGTGAGCAGTAGTTACAATATAAAGAACCTGATTTGATCCTAAGGTTTCTTGTGTGGATGAAAGGAACACTTTCTTATGGAAGGGGAAGAACTGTTTTTCCCCTCTAATTCCTCACTTCTTTCTGAAGTCATATAAATCGCATACCATCCTACTGTGATACCAAACGTCTGTGTATTTTCAGTGCTTGCACAGAGATCCAAAAGGAAGAATGAGGAACAAAATCAAAGCAGTGTGTTCTTCCACATATGGAATGAAGTTAGAGGTCAAGGCTACATAGGGCTTGTTCTTTACATTGCAGCAATTAGAATATGATTTTATTGCCCATGTCCCCTTTTCTCTAATCAGCAAGTCAACTGCTGAATTTCAAGGAAATATACATGATGCTTTTGTTCAAAATTTCTATTCATTTGGGTAAGCCATTCTCTAGGCAGCAATTCTTAGCATTCGGCCTTCCTGAATGTTAATACCCTTTCAGATATTTTGATTTCAGTGCTTGTGAGCTTTACCCACTTTGATCAATATTTAGGAATGCTAGGAGATGTGTCTGCCAGATGTTTTGGACTACTAGGATGGAATATTTTGATTTAAAACCTATAGTTGGCTTAATTTGACCCACTTGTCACATACAGTTGAGTTTTAATGGTTGTTAGACAAAGCACATTTTAATGGCTAATATTCTGTTAATTATACCCACCAGTGTGTACGCTCAGCGGTAAATTGGGACTAATTAAGAAGTTGGTGGTCATACTCGTATTTCTTGTTGCACAATACTTGTATGTCTTGGTGTGCAATGAGAAATGCAGATATTGACTTCTTAGCTAGTGGCAGTTTGCTGCAGAAGAAATGGACTTACACTGGTGTAATTATTTAAAACCAATTAAAAACGTTATGCGAGGCACCAATGTATCTCTTTTTTTTCTTTGAGAAATTGGTAGGATGGAGCTGACTATTACTTGAGTTCTTCATTGTTTTAGGGTTTTGATAGAATTGACAGTCTTAATTGTCTGTAATATATTATTATATAATGTACAGTACTGTGTTGTTTGGCAGTTCTTGAATAACATTGTGCATTCTGATATTTCCTTGTCAGATTCTTATGTGTCCAGAACATGAAATGGAAAGAGTAAACATGTATTGTGAACTATGCAGAAGGCCTGTTTGTCATCTTTGCAAATTGGGTGGCACACATGCAAACCACAGAGTGACTACAATGAGCAGTGCCTACAAAACACTCAAGGTAAGTTGGAATGTTTCATTCTGTAATCTTTGGGAACAAAAAATTAAGGTCCTGCTTCCCCAGTGAGTTCGGCACAAACACAGACACATGTATGCACACACTATATACTTATTAATGCATCTTTGGAAATGTATGAGTGTCCTGTTAAAACTACTGTATTTATAAGCTTTTATTTTGCAGGTTTGTATTTCATGGTGATTGGAACCAATGCATGTGTTGGATGGTTAGAGTGTTTATGTGATGCACTGCCACTACAGAAAGGTGTTAAATAGTCTCTAATGTGTCATGAGAAAAAAGCCAGGCTACAAGAACACAAAAACCCAACATTCATATGTTCATTATACAGTGGGGTCTTGACTTGAGAACTTAATCCGTATTGGAAGGCGGTTCTCAAGTCAAAAAGTTCTCAGGTCAAATCTGCATTTCCCATAGGAATGCATTGAAAACCATTTGATCCATAACTGCTCTTTTCCGTCCATAGAAACTAATGGGAAGCTGCTATTCTGCCTTCGACCACTAGAGGGGGATATTTTGTTTCTTTTTTTCTTAGGTCAAGAAAGGTTCAGGGAAGGCAGGGAAAATACAGTCCAGGCAGTACAGTACCAGGCAGTCTGAAGACTGTCTCCCAATCCACTCTCTAAACGCTGGGAGGAGTGAGGAAGCAGACAGGCACCCTTTTCACTGGCCAACAGTTTATAAGCTTTTATTTTGCAGGTTTGTATTTCATGGTGATTGGAACCAATGCATGTGTTGGATGGTTAGAGTGTTTATGTGATGCACTGCCACTACAGAAAGGTGTTAAATAGTCTCTAATGTGTCATGAGAAAAAAGCCAGGCTACAAGAACACAAAAATCCAACATTCATACGTTCATTATATAAAAAGACTACAACCAGTTGTACTTACTGGCCAGAATCATTGGTGTTCACATAAGGTTTGCATAACTTACCATAGCTAATTGATGAGCTGGCAGGACACATAATAGTCAGCACTTTCCCTGCCTCCCACGTGGTTTTTTTTTCAGTTCTTAACTCAAATCTAAGTATGTAAGTCAAGTCAATATTTTCCTATGAGAGTGGTTCTTAAGTCAAAATGTTCTTAACTCAAGCCGTTCTTAAGTCAAGACCCCACTGTATAAAAAGACTACAACCTGTTGTACTTACTGGCCAGAATCATTGGTGTTCACATAAGGTTTGCATAACTTACCATAGCTAATTGATGAGCTGGCAGGACACATAATAGTCATATTCCTGGTTACATGCCTCATTGGACAATTGAGATCCATCATGCACTTCATCAGCTAGTCACAGATAGCTATGGAAAGTTTTGCAAACCTTACATGATCACCAGTAGGATTCAGGCCATTATTTCCTTTTCAATATACATACCGTATGCATCCAGTTTTGTTCAGTAACAGTTATGTTCACAATTGTGTGCTGTTGCACCTCTTTTTTCTTGGTACATTACAGCTGTTGCCCTCTGTTTATTTTGTACAGCATTTTATGTCAAAGCTAGCATCTGATATTGCCTTTCGTGGTAGGAAATACTGCTTTCAGCTGATTATGAGGGATGAAAGGGATGTCAAGATTTACCACCTCAATATTTTAAGGGGTTTATAGGCATGATTGATAGCAAAGACTAATGGGGCTCGAAATAGATCTCTGCAAGAACCAGCTGTGGCTGTAATCTTCCAAATATTGGCTCATGGAAATTCACTGTAATTGTCCTAAGCTCAGGTTAAGTGAATTTCAGCTTTATATAATAACTTGATCTAAATTAATTCTTTTTCATAGCTGGGCATTTTTATTGGATATTTCCAGTGTTAACCCATAAAACACATAGCTTATAAAATTCTTAATTTTCTCAAAGCATGGAAATATAAATTTAATCAACATTGTTGACTACCTTAGCTTGACTTGTTCCAGCTGTTCAAACAGACAGATGATTTATGACATATTTGATGGAACAAATATAATGTTGAGTTAACTCTTTGGGACAGATACAGGAGATACGTATTTTATTTGACAGTATACATGATAGTGGCTAAAGTTGTTCTGATCAACTTGAGCATATTCATTTTTGCTGGGCTTTGATATATTTCATGAAGATGTTTATGTTTTAATTGCATGTTGCTCTTTTTCTGATTTTTGCTGGCAGAAGTACAGAGGCATTCTTTAATTCTGGTTCTTTGAAACTTAGCTATTCCATTTCAGACTGAGAATAACTTTACTAAGTAATTAATATGGTGAAGATTATAGAAGTCTCCTGAAATGAAGGGGAGTTATCAGAAGCAAAAACTAGTCTTTTGCAGTATTTCTCTCATAAGTGGGTTTTACACCAAATCAAACTTGAACTATCTCTGGAGGCAAAAATATTGAAACTGAGGTGGCCCTATTTTGGGCACATTGTGAGAAGACACAGTTCTATGGAAAATACAATAATGCTGGGAAAGGTTGAAGGCAGTAAAATAAGAGGAAGGCCAAATACATGATGGATTGATTCCCTAATGGAACCACAAGCTTGAATACCAGAGCTGAACAAATCTGTGGAAGACAGGACATTTTGTCAGGCCATAAGTTGAGGGCGACTTGATGACACATAACAACAGCAACAGCTCTCACTGCAGAAATGCACTTCAACAAAGCTAGAAAATCCTCTGTTGTTGGACTACAGTGCATAAAATACCTAAAGTCACACAGGCACTAGCCATAGTGATTAGTGGACTTGGGGAGGTTAAATCCAAAAAAGTAAAGTTTCTAATCTCTACATGTTAGGGCAGTGCATGTACCACTTGTGCTTAGTTTTACCCACTCCCATTTCTTACCACGTCTTGTACAGTGCTTGTGTTGACACAGTTGTTACCATTGACTTGGCTATTTTACTGGATCTATATACAACACAATAGTTTCCTCAAATACAAATTTCCTTCTGCTGGTGCTACATGATCTTTGTGACTCACACATATGTGGGGCACTGGGATGTCTGTGCAGAGTCTCACTGAAAACATTCTAGCGCTGATCACAGTTTAAGCAGAAGTCTGACTCAGTTGTACTGGGCACACTCAAAGAACATGGTTGCTGCTCAGTTTTTCCCCTATCTACTGCAGCAGTAGCTTTAGGAATATTCTCTAACTTGGCACAGTTCTTTTAACAGTTTTCAAGAACCTGCCCAGCAAATCTCTTATATGGCGTGTGTGTTGTCTCAAAATGCAATAATAGAGTTTTTAAAAATCTACTCTTAACACATATGTTGATCTTTTTTTAATAGGAAAAGCTTTCAAGGGACATAGACTACCTCATTAGTAAAGAAAGCCAGGTGAAAAGCCAGATTGCAGAACTTGGTCTTTTAATGAAAGAAACAGAGGTAAGAATGGGCTTAGTTGTCTTATGATGTAACCTATTTTTATATTCTTTTAAAATTCTATATAATTGAATGTTGCCTTTAGTGCAAAAAGTTAAACACCTTGTCATATATACTAGCTGTAAGTTAGTACAGTGGTGCCTTGACTTATGATCATAATCTGTTCCAGAAGATGGACGTAACTCGAAATGGTCGTAAGTCGAAGCACCATTTCCCATAGGAATGCACTGGAATGAGATTAATCCATTCTGGCAAAAAAGCAAAAACAACAACAACAATAACAAACCACACAACACAACAACAACAACAACAACAATAACAGACCACACAATAAGCCTCATCGGAAGGCACTGGGGCTTTAAATAAACCAAACCAAAAATAAGCAACAGAGCAAGCCCCATTGGAAGGAGCTGGGGCTTAAAAAATAAATAAAAATAAACAACAGAGCAAGCCCCATCAGAAGGAGTTGGGGCTTAAAAAAATAAACAACAGAATAAGCCCCATTGGGAGGAGCTGGGTCTTTAAAAAAAAGCAAAACAACAACAAAAAACCACACAGCAAGCCCAATCGGAAGGAGTTTGGGCTTTAAAAAAAGCAAAAATAAACAACAGAGCAAGCCCCATTGGAAGGAGCTGGGCCTTAAAAAAATTAAGCAAAAATAAACAACAGAACAAGCCCCATCAGAAGGAGCTGGGGCTTAAAAGAAAAAAAATCAAAAATAAACATCAGAGCAAGCCCCATCCAGAGGAGCTGAGGCTTTAAAAAAAATAAGCAAAAATAAACAACAGAGCAAGCCCCATCGGAAGGAGTTGGGGCTTAAAAAAATAAACAACAGAATAAGCCCCATTGGGAGGAGCTGGGTCTTTAAAAAAAAGCAAAACAACAACAAAAAACCACACAGCAAGCCCAATCGGAAGGAGTTTGGGCTTTAAAAAAAGCAAAAATAAACAACAGAGCAAGCCCATTGGAAGGTGCTGATGCTTAAGAGAAAAAAAGCAAAAATAAACAACATAGCAAGCCCCATCGCTGGGGCTGAAAAAACAAACACACCAAAACACACACAAAAATCACAGCACAGAAAGATACCCCCCCAAACCCACCCTGCCATCACCTCCACTGGCCTTGTTGTTAGACAAGCTTTCCAAGGCCCACTTGACTTCATTCTCCAGGATGTCTGGCTCTATGTCAGCAACGACACTATCTGGGTTGTCCGGGACATCCAGGTCTTTCTGGTAAAATTCCTCTGTATATTCTTACCATCTCTTCTTGATATCTTCTGCTTCTGTAAGGTCCCTACCATTTTTTTGTCATTTATCATGTTCCTCTTTGCACAAAATGTCCCTTTAATATCTCTGATTCTCCTGAACAGATCTCTGCTTTTTCCTTTTCTATTATTTTCCTCTATTTCTTTGCATTGTCCATTTACAAAGGCCCTCTTGTCTCTCCTTGCTATTCTTTGGAAGTCTGCATTCAGTTTTCTGTAACTTTCCTTATCTCCCTTGCATTTTGTTTCCCTTCTCTTCTCTGCTATTTGTAAGGCTTCATTGGACAGCCACTTTGCTTTCTTGCATTTCCTTTTCTTTGGGATGGTTTTTCTTGCTGCCTCCTGTACAATGTTACAATCCTCTATCAAAAGTTCTTCAGGCCCTCTGTCCACCAAATCCAGTTCCTTAAATCTGTTTTTCACTTCCACTGTGTATTTGGTGTAAGGGATTTGGTGTAGATTATACCTGACTAGCCCAGTGGTTTTTTCTACTTTCTTCAGTTTGAGCTTGAATTTTGCTATGAGAAGCTGATGATCAGAGCCACAATCAGCTCCAGGTCTTGTTTTTGTTGGCTGTATAGAGCTTCCCCATCTTTGGCTGCAGAGAATATAATCAATCTGATTTCAGTATTGCCCATCTGTTGATGTCCATGTGTAGAGTCGCCTCTTGTGTTGTTGGAAAAGAGTGTTTGTGATGTCCAGCTTGTTCTCTTGACAAAACTCTATTAGCCTTTGCCCTGCTTTGTTCTAAACTCCAAGGCCAAATTTTCCTGTTCTTCCTTTTATCTCTTGCCTGTATATACTGTAAATAGTAGAACAACTACTATCAACACTATTCTTGTGCCTGGTGTATTCATAACCTCTGGAAAGATCTTATTTGACTATCATAATTTGGTGTTTACCTGGAATTCCGCTACTCTGTCATTTTCTATCATTTTTGAGATTATATCCCATTACAGCTTTTCCCACTCTTTTGTTGACTATCCATTCCTTCTACAAACTTCTTGCCCACAATAGTAGAAATGATTAAAAAAAGCCCCTTGGCGCAGTGGTTAAACTGCTATACTGCAGCCAAAACTGTGCTCGCAACCTGGGGTTCAATCCCAGGTAGCTGGCTCAAGGTTGACTCAGCCTTCTGTCCTTCCAAGGTCGATAAAATGAGTACCCAGCTCGCTGGGGGGGCAATGTGTAGCCTGCATAATTAACTTGTAAACCGCCCAGAGTGCTTGAAGCACACTTTGCTTTGAAAATCATCTGAATTGAATTTGCCCATTCCTGTCCATTTTAGTTCACTGACGCCCAGGATATCAATGTTTATTCTTGCCATCTTCTGTTTGACCATATCCAAGGTTCATAGATCTTACATTCCAGGTTCCTATGCAGTATTTTTCTTTGAAGCATTGGACTTTCCTTTCACTTCCAGGCACGTCCACAGCTGAGCGTCATTTCAGCTTTGGCCCAACCACTTCATTAGCTCTGGAGCTACCTGTACTTGTCCTCTGCTCTTCCTCAGTAGAATGTTGGACACCTTCCGACCTGGGGGGCCCCATCTTCCAGTGTCATATCTTTTAGCCTTTTGTTTCTGGTCATGGGATTTTCTTGGCAAAGATACTGGAGTGGCTTGCCGCTGCCTGCTCCACTTGGATTGCGTTTAGTTGGAACTCTCCACTATGACCTGTCCGTCTTGGGTGGCCCTGCACGGCATAGCCCATAGCTTCACTGAGTTACTGAAGCCCCTTTGCCATGACAAGGCAGCAATCCATGAAGGGGGAAGCATTCATTAGGGCATGTTATGTAGTATATAAAGTGATACTCATAGTAGACAGGTATATAGAGAGATAGGTGTAATTTTTTTGTTTTTGCTACAGCAGATTAATCAGGTTCCTTGAAAAAAATTCTGACAAATAATGAAAATTGATTTCACTGTTTTCAGCTTCAATAGATGAATCATGTGTTTGTGTGTTTTTTTAAATAGTGTAATGGTGAAAGAGCTAAGGAAGAGGCATCAAATAACTTTGATAAGTTGTTTGATGTTCTGGAAGAGAGGAGGGCAACTGCACTCAGGGCTATTGAAGCTTCAAAAAACATAAGACTGGAGAAGTTGCATTCTCAAATAGAAGAGTATCAGGGACTTCTTGAAAATAATGGTCTGGTGGGATACGCCCAAGAAGTTCTCAAAGAAACAGACCAGTCTTGTTTTGTTCAAACAGCAAAGCAGCTTCATGACAGGTATGTTATTTGCCTCTTGAAATGTTTACATGATTGTAGGAGCAAATGCAAGTCTGCCACCACATCACATGGCATGACAAACCTGGGTGCTTGACCTTGACTGAAGTGAGGTGAAATTGATTGGAGCAAGGCATGCCGCAGCTATATCCAGCTGCCAGGGGACCTGGGGACCTCAATAATATGGCTTTTTGGAGGGGCAGGGTGTGGGTTAGGGGTTAAAGGGTGTGGGGGAAATTGGGCAGGAAGTGGGGGATGGTGTAGACAGAGGAATGAGGAAGAATCAACAGAGAGAGATAAGAGGTAGAAGAGAAAGGTGAGAAAGATTGCCTTGGCTGGTGTATCTAGGGAGCTGCAAGCCCAGGTTGGCTGAAAAAATGAGAAGCATAATTTGGAAGTGGAAACAAAGTGGATAGAGGGAGGCCCCTGGCCACTCTTGAAGGGAGGGGATTCCTATGTTCATCTCTCAAGCTGCAGAGGGACAGCTAGCAAGTCAAGCCCTAGAGAAGTAAATCATGGGACCATTAGCAACCTAGCATGAGCCAGTATCTAGTGGGGAGACTGATAACTTTTTCATTTGCATCTCCTGCAGAGGTATATACTCCTTGCCCAGCTATTCATGAATCCTGGGACTTAGCTCTTGGGATATTTTGGCAGAACCCTGGCTTTCTACCCCAACAACCTGGTAGCCTGGGTGGGCACTGGCTGTTGGCTCTTCAGCTGGCATCCAGCTAGTACTGACATCACCAGGGACAACCATCCTACTAACCCCACTGCCAATATGGTCCTGTGCGATCCTGTATTTACACAACCCAAGGTGGCCACCGTATCAGTGTCTTTGGTCACTGTGATATCTGGCCCCACCAGTTCTTAATCCAAGACATCCATCTGTTCACCATTTATGATTATCTTGATCCTAATCCTATTGGCACTGTCTGCGTGTGTGTTACTCTCTGGCCACCATGGTCAAGCATCTTGCCCTAGGGCTTTCCAGTGCTTGTTTGTGGACAAAAGAGCTCTTTTTCCTTCCTTTCTCCTTGCCTCCAATGTACCCTTCCCATGGAGAAAACAGAGTAGGCCATAGTGATATACACCAGATGCCTTGCTCTGTACTGTGGATTGGGTATAAAAATCTGTGTTGGATGCATTTTGTGTGAATCAAGGTATTCCTCTTGTCCTTTGTACAGCACTCCCACCAAATCATTCCTGTGGTTTTAAGGAATTTGTGAGTCAGCTTGCAGTGCAGGGGTAAAAACAGATAACTTTGTTTATGTACCAATCAAAACATTTTCTGTTCTTTCTTGGGGCACTCAGAATCCAAGTTTCCAGGTTATGGAACCAATTTCCATCCATAGTTCCTATACATTATCTATCTATTTATATTATATTATATTATATTAGTATTTGTATTTGTATTTTAACTGGCTTCCACATGAGAACTTTCTAGAGTTCTGTTTATGCAAGTTACACAATAGAGAGTTACAGATTTACCTGTACATAGCCCCTGCTGTTATTTCCCATTGTTTTGTAATGCTGGATCTTGAAATAATATTGGTTTGATAGATAGGTTTGTTCTTTTAACTCTGAGATACTGGTTTAAAAAAAGGATTGTGTATTTTAGTGCTGTTCTTATAATATTCTGAAAGCTAGTTTACTGGAGAAAGTATGTATGTAAGCTATAAAGTCTCTTCCATGTACAGAATTCAGAAAGCAACTGAATCTTTGAAGAGTTTCAGACCTGCAGCCCAAGCTTCTTTTGAAGATTACATTATTGACATAACAACACAACAGGAGGCTCTTGGAGACTTGGCTTTCCAGTCAAGTGGTAAGTTTAAAAGGAAGAGGGCATGTGATCTTCACTCTGTTGCATTAACTTCTGTTTTCATTGTTTTCAGAAGTTGGTAGTAACAATTGCAACCATTATCTTAATAGGGATATTTTAGTACTTGAAACAGGTTTTATAGGTACAGTTATGTTTTGGAAAAAGTTTGGAGAGAAAATAGTTCCTTAATATTTGGGAAGTAGATTATGGAGTTGCTGACAGTTTGTGGGCACACATATGCACATGCTGAATTTTTTCCATGCATATTCAGATTGATAGTGAGTCAAGGAATGTACTAGAAGGAATAGCCAAGAGTATGCCTAATGTCTTATTTCCAGTAAAAGATATATGGCATGGACAGTCCTGCTGTTGTGGGAGATTGATACTCTAGACTAAAGAAGTGATTACACATCAGGAAAAATGTGAATGTGAAGTCACACCTGAGAAGTTGGGTTTCCTGGGTAAATTGGCTTTAGCCCACCACAATGTAGTTAGCAGAGAGGAGGGGTGAAATTGGCACTCAAAATCCTTGTTTGCAGCTTGTTATAGTTCTGCTTTGTTCTGGCCATTCAGATTTGCAGGAGGACCAATTAGAGGAAAGTTACTTTAACAAGTTGCAAACAAGTCTGATTACTTTCTCCTCCCTTTCTGCTGATTCCTTGCTCTTTTTTTCTCATTTTGTGGACTGAATTATTTCCCACTCAGTAGTTTTTAGATGTGTACATTTTAATCCTTTTTTGTTTAATGTAGTGAAGCAAAATCAGTGTTTAAATCTATATTGATTCTTCTGCTTTTGATTCAGGTCTTGATATACCAGAAATTAACGAAGAACAGAGCAGAATGTATAATAAGGCTTTGATTTCTTGGGATCATCCACAGAAAGCAAGTTCAGCTGATACTTATATGCTCGAGTACCGTAAACTCAACAGAGAAGAAGCTAACCCAACATGGCATGAGATTGAAGTCTTTAGCAAGAGTGAAATAATTTCTGACCTTGACACGAACAGCATTTATGCTTTCAGAGTCAGAGGATACAAAGGATCTATCTGTAGCCCTTGGAGCAGGGAAGTGATCTTGCACACACCACCAGCTCCAGGTAAAATACAATTCTTGAGCAATCCCAGACTGTTGGCTTTGGGAGGCTTGGGACTTGTTATGACAGGAAGGTGCCTTCTTGTGTTTGTGGGTCCATGCCCATGAAAAGCGTGTCCCCTAAGTTATAGTCAAATTATGTCACATTAATATTATAAGTTCCTTAGCCATATAGAGAGGATTTGCAATATTTCTGGAAGTACTCAGGCTAGCAACATGGCATATTTTTAGAGGATTGATATAAATTGGTACAGTTTCTCTCTCTGTATTTACATTGAACCTAACACAGAGATAGTAGTAGTAGTACCTTAGGACGAACACTCTCTAGCTGCTGCTTCTGCTGCTAATAATAAATCACTTGATATTATAGGCACTAACATTTACAAGATATTAAAAAATTCCTCCCACCTGGCATGTAATTGATTGAGAACAGTACAGAATTTAACAACAAATAAACTTGTCTCAACTCCCATTACTGTGAATTGTATAGCAAATAGCATCTGTTTCTTAGAGATAGTGCCATCATCATGTTTTGAGGAATTGGTAGATCCCAGATAAATAATAATTCAAGCTTACATTCATGAAGGACAGACTCATTTTCAGAGATACCTTTAAAATCCTTAACTCTTGGATTAGCATGGCCAGTATGAATCCAGTCTACAGTTTAGGCAAGAGAGTCAAACTCTGGCCTTCTTTCCCTGATGTTTTACTGATATAATTTTTATTGAAGGGTTTCTTACTATTGTTCCAGTTTTGCCTGTTTTACCTCTGAGAACTTGGGGTTTCGAATCTCACTAATGGAATCCTCTGTTTCACCTGCTTCTAAATGATTTTTTAGGATTTTTGTCTTTAAGTAACTCAGTTCCCCAGGAAAACGGAATAAAATTGTTCTAATACAATCACATTTTTCATCTGTTCTACAGAAGAGACATTTTCATGTTCCATCCATTTGTTCAAACATTGCATCAGTTTAGCCCCTAACTGAGAATAAGATTTTTCATGCTTTTTGGTACGGGAACAAAATTTTCTCCTCAGGTGTTCTGCATTTATGCCAAATCTTGGAATACACCATTTTTCTATAGGCCTCAAAATCTCTAGCTTGCTCTAGAGGCGTATGAGAATACAGTTCAGCAAATCTCCACTTATTTGTGATCTTAACACTACCATCCTTTCAAAATCTCAACACGCTCTCTCAAATGAATGTTGTTGTTATTATTATTTTGAGCAGACATATCCTGTCTTTTCATCTCTATTTGAAATTCCATTTGTCTTTTTTCTTGCTCAAATGTGATTTCTCTTTCTCTTAATTCAATTTGTCTCACCTTTTCTTTCTCCATAATCTCTAATTCCTTGATCTGTAGTTCCTGAGCTTTCTCTTCAGCTCTGGCTTTTTCTCTAATTTCTATTCTTTTTCTCTAAGCCAAAATTCCTGTTCTAGTCTCCATTTCTACAGATTTTGGGAGCTTAGAACCCTTTGTCTCTCTGAGGCACCTTCATCAGTCTCCTCCTGTTCCAGTGAGATTAGAGGGTCTCCATTTCTCCCTCCACTTTTTGAGGTAAATTCTCTGCCTCACGACTCCCCTTTGGCTACGTTTGGGGGACATGTTTACTTCTGAGATAATTAGTCTTGAGTGTTTGTACTGATTTTAAAAAGGACCTGTCTTATTGCTTTTATTCCAGTAACTATTGTTGTTGCACTTCCCTCAGCAGCTCTTTCTGGCTGTTCTCCAGCTAACAACCTTTTAGTTACTGTGTCTTTCTATGTAAGAGCTATTCCTGCTCTCAGTCACTGAAATAATTTTATTTCTCAAGCCTCTGCTTTGATTTATCTATCCCCTCAGATCTGCTTTGACCTCTGGCTTCCACTTTTATCCTCCAGCACTCTCTTCTCTCATAGCCTTGGATTTTAAGCTAGCCCACTGGTCTTCCAAATCTTGAGGTAAATAAACAGGAATTTTTCCTTTAGAGTTTTCCCTATCTTTAGTCCCCCCAGATCTGGGATCAGAAGCCCCGCCACTAAGCTTTTCCAGAAAAGCTCTAGCAGGTCACCCACTTCTTCACCACAAACCTCTGACTAAAAAGGTACCCACGACTCAACAAAAATTTCACTTTCAAACTCTGGCTTTACTGGATTTTTTTGGATCCCGCCGCTGGATGCCAATTGTAGCATTTGCCCTCGTGGCCCCTGTTTGTCTCACTAGACACAGAGCTCACAAAGGTACACCAAAACACCTCTTGACATGCTGCCACCAGTTGTTGTCCTTATCAACTTACTTTACTTAGAAAAGATGAAGGTCCATTCAGTACTAGCTTTTTAATAGAACAGGCTTATTGATTACAATTGGTTTCTGGAACAATTCAAAAGCACAATCTTCAAGTTTCATCAAGCTTCAGTATTAACCTTCTATAGTTATTTATCACAATTTACACTCAGACTAATCACTCCTCAGACCCCAAACTATCCTTCTCTCCCTGATTCCTAACACAGACACTCTGACTGACCGCCCTCTCAGGCTACACTTTTTAACATCCCTTTTAGCCCCACCTCTTAACCATATTAGCATACCATATTAGCATATAACTCATGGATAATACATATTGCATAACAAGGGTGAACGCTACACTCATATTGTCTGAAAATGATGCTTTACAGACAACATAACTTATTGCATAACAAGGGTGAACGGTACTCTCATATTGTTTGAAAATGATGCTTTACAGGCATTATTTTATTATAGTTCTCATTTATGGTTAAATTGATGGGCAAGGTGGGACATGGCATTGGGAAAGGCACATGGTGCCCATGGTTACAGTTAACATGTCAGAAATTCACAGATGGATAATCTGTGGCAGGTTAATAAGTGATAGTGCATCACAGTTGTGGAAGGACTTGGGGATTGAAATATAGTGAATTCTTAGTAATAAGTATGAAAACCCTATGCCCTACTAGTAGTATATCATTGTTTAAGTATAAAGAAAAGTGGCTTAACGTGCCTATTTATTTTTCAGTTTTTAGTTTTCTTTTCGATGACAAGTGTGGATTCAACAGTGAACATCTCATGCTGAATGCGAGGAGAAATGTTGTGGAAAGCAGGGCTGGATTTCCTTTGCTTTTGGGAGCTGAACGTATTCAGACGGGCTGCTATACTACCTTAGACTACATTGTTGGAGATACTGGTATTGTGAAAGGAAAGCATTTCTGGGCTTTCCATGTGGAACCCTATTCATATCTTGTGAAAGTAGGAGTTGCATCTGATGCTAAGATCCAAGAATGGTTCCATAATTCTCGTGATATAATTAGCCCAAGGTAATTGAAATTTTGTTTTTATTTGTAGACTCTCACATGTGTTACATCCTAATTAAAATGCTTCTTGATCAAAATAGCCGCAGGGTTTCTCTGCATTGCTTCAGATTATCTTAATTAGGCAGTCAATGATCAAAATCCTATCACTTAGTGTAATAAATTGCACTAAAGTAGGCCCATCGAATCCGTGGGGATGTGTTGAATCATCTTCTCCATATGTTTTACTAATTCAAATGGGCCTACTCTAATTGTGACTGATCATGTTAAAATAAATTGAAATAAGAGTAGACCCGTTTGACTCAAGGGAATATACAGAGGAGTTGACTCACCAAATCTCTGTTGATTCAGTGAGCCTTTTTTAGTGTGAGTTACTACAAGAAGCAACAGGATTTTGGCCATTATTTCTGAAAAGTGGCTTACATTCAGTATTTCTGAAAAGTGACTTACGTTCAAAGTAATTTTCTGCATATGCAGGGGAACCTTGGATCTGTAAGTCCGTGACAGACTGTTGTTAGTCATGCTTTCTAATACCCACTTGACTCCGTTCTCCAGGATGTCTGGCTCAGCCTCTGCAACCACACAATCTGGGTTGTCTGGGACGTCGAGATCTTTCTGGTATAATTCTTCAGTGCATTCTTGCCACCTCTTCTTGATGTCTTCTGCTTCTGTGAGGTCGCTACCATTTTGTCCTTTATCATGCCCATCTTTGCACAAAATGTTCCTTTAATATCTGTAATTTTTTTTGAACAGATATTTATTTTTTTCCCTTTCTATTCTTTTCATTTCTTTGCACTGTTCATTTAAGAAGGCCCTCTTGTCTCTCCTTGCTATTGTTTGGAAGACAGATTTCAATTTTCTGTAACTTTCCCTATCTC